ACTGTGCCACCCAAGATCCTAATGAATTATTGGGATGTACTGGGCCCCTACCTGGTGGGATAAAACAACTGAAAATTACCCTGGTATGAGAGACAGAGAGCATCTCCATCAGACAACAAAGAAACTCCCGGGTGAGAGCGTTTCCTCTTGGGCTAGTCTAGTCACCCGCATGGACTCTGTAGGGTTATCTGGCTTATCCATATGGTTACACGTAGCAGTGTGAGAAGGGAGCACTCCCTGGAGAAGACCCTGATGCTGGGAAAGATTGAAGGTCAAAGAAGACGGGGACGGCAAAGGATGAGATGGTTAGACAGTGTCATAGATGCAATGAACATGAAATTGAGCCAACTTCAGAGGACGGCGGAAGACCGGAAGGCCTGGCGTGATCTGGTCCATGGGGTCGCGAAGAGTCGGACTCGACTGTGCGACTGAACAACAACAACAAAGCAGTGTGTTACCACTTGCTCAGTAGTCTGATATTTTTATTTCACCCTTCCTCTAAGGGACTTCCTGACGGTCTATACATGTTTCCCCTCCCCATTTTATCTTTACAATGACCCTGAAAAAGATTAAGCTGAAAGACTGGCCCAGGGTCACCCGGCATACTTAATAGCTTAAGAAAGCCAGTGTGGCGAAACAGTTAGAGTGTCAGAGATGGAGACCCAGGCTTGGATCTCCAGTCTGCCATGGAAGACTGCTGGGTGACATCAGAACATAAGAGAAACCATGTTTTTCGGCCCTGGCCCCGACCTGGCGGAACACTCTGCCGGGCGAGACTCAGGCCCTGCAGGATTTGATGCAGTTCCGCAGGGCCTGCAAGACAGAGTTGTTCCGCCAGGCCTGTGGCTGAGGGCAGCAACCGTTTCCCCTTCCTCTTTCCCCTCCCCTTTCCTTCTTTATCAGTCAGATTTTAGGATATTGATCTCTCTCCCGTGACAAGGAGCACTGGGTTGTGCCCCTTTTATATGCCATCAATTAGTTGTTGTTAGATGCTGCTACACCGTTGTATTATAGACTTGTTTAAATAATTGTAACTGTATTTTATGAATGCCGTTACCTGCCCTCAGCCCTATATACAGAGGAGGGAGGGCTATAAATCGAATGAATAAATAAATCAAATGTTGTATCGGGCCAATGGCCCATCCAGTCCAACACTTTGTGCCACACAGTGACCCTGGATCAGTCACACGCTCCCTTACGTTACCTACCTCACAGGGTGGTTGTTGTGAGCATAAAAAGGAGGCGAGGAGAACAACGTAAGCCTCTTTGAGTCCCCACTGGGGAGAAAGGCAGGCTGCACATTGAGTAAAGTGAAAGAAAACTAAAGAGGGGATTTGAACCTGGGTCTCTCTGGCTGATATCCTAAACACTACACCACACTGCATCTGTATTCATCTGAATCTTCCTCACCCCCCATAACTTAGAGCCACCCTGGCTTCCTTCCTACAGAAATAAACATGCCTGTGCTCTTTCTCCCTTTAGACAGTGGTCTTGAATCCCTCAAGGTGGGTCTTCGACCACCACCTGGCTGGCTACCTAATAGGGTAACCAACCTCCAGGTGATGGCTGGAGATCTCCTGCTATTACAACTGATCTCCAGGCGCCAAAGATCAGTTCATCTGGAGAAAATGGCTGCTCTGGAAGTTGAACTCTATGGCATTATGCCCCCAAACCCACCCTCCTGAGGCTCCACCCCCAAAATCTCCAGGCAGTCCCCAGCCTGGAGCTGGCAACGCTACTGCCTAAAGCTGATGATTTTGCTGACTTTTGGAGCCAGGTGCCCTGCTCCCTGCCTTCCTCTGTATGCACTTCAGAGAGGAATAGCAGTATGATTTGTGGACAGGGCTCCCCCATGGCTCTGCCCCTCAGCTTGTTCTTCCCTTCCCGGTGTACCCTTCCCGGTGCTTGGCCTGTATTTCCTTGCCCCCTCGGCTCTAGGGTTGCCACTGTCAAGGTTCAGACCATAGGCAGCAAAATCATAGCTCTGGAAAAAAAAACACCCCTCCTAAAATGTGACTTTCTATCAGTTCTTTGCAACGGCTGCCATTCTCAATAGATTCCCAGGTCTGGAAAAACTAAATGCCGCTGTTTCAAGACACATCTACATCAGGAGATAGTTCCCCTGTTGGTCTGCAGTAGAACAGCAAGATTCAAGGGCAGTTGCACCTTAAAAGACTAACAACATTTCTAGGATATAAGCTTTCAAGAGTCAAAGCTCTCTCCATCAGGTATTCTGATACACTGGAAACCTTGAATCTTGTCTGGTCGTGAATCTTACTCATCTATGGTGGTGGAAAAGTATCATCAAATCACAGGTGACTTATGGCAACCCCATAGAGTTTTCAAGGCAAGAGGTGAACAGGTTTGCCATTGCCTGCCTCTGCTTAGCAACCTTGGTGGTCTCCCATCCAAGTGCTAACTGGGGCCAACCCTGCTTAGCTTCCCTGCTCTGAGAAGATCAGCCAGCATTCAGAGATTTATAACCCTCCTCCCTTATTTCAGCAGGCCCCATATTTTGGAAAAACCGAGCCCCTGACAAGTGCCAATAAGACTCACAGTGATTGCCCCACCCAGCTGGAATGGGTTGCCTTAACCCAATCCATTCGCACTCTCTCTAGCCCTTTTCCTTTTTAGTTCATGCCATGCCATAAAACTCTCTTTCTCATCCTGATATCCTCCCAACAGGCCTTAGAAATTGGACTGGACCGATTACACTTGTGTCCCACACCTTTCTCCAAAAGAAAGCAGGTAGGCATACATGTTCTTTCATTTTATCCTCACAATGACCCTGTAAGGTAGGCCTGGAAATGTCAGAGCGAGTGTTAAAAGAATGAGGAGGGAGACCCAACTCCTGCTGTAAAGCTCACTGGGTGACCCCAGGCCAGTCACCACTGTCTCTCAGCCTAACTTAACCTCACAGGGTGATGATAAAAACATTAAGAACCACCCTGAGTGAGAAAGGGTAGGATAAAAACTGAATGGGACACATGAGTTCAGTGTACACTGGAATGGAACTAACCGCTGAGCTGCCATTAGTTTTAGGTACATTCTAAATCTCTCACTTAAGATTTTAGTCTTGTTTCAATGAACGTTTTAATATATTATTGTAGTATAGAATTGTTTATGGTTTTATGTTGTAAGCCAGCCTGAGCCCACTTGCAGGGTAGGGTGGGATTTTTTTAAAAAAAAAAATCGCTAAATGAATGAATGAACTGGGAAACGGGGACCCCTTCAACATCATCCTGTATGCTGGAATCACACCTGTCCATCTGCACATAATGCTGCAAAGGATTCTGGGACCAATGAAGCATGGCCAAGCTATTGGGTTCTCAGCCATTAGCTGAAAATATGGTCCCGAACACATTTGGGACTCCCTGTTGGCTGTATGTGAAGATCAGCAGTGCAGCTCAGATTGCCTTTTGGAGGAATTTAGCCACCCCTATGAAATCTTGATTAAGGAACCACAGGCTTCCCTGCAACCTAGTTTGGAATCCATTTCCCTAACCACACCGGGGTTCTTTCTCTGTGCAACTGCCCAATACATGGTGCGGTACCTGCCTCTTCCTGACAACCTGCCTCCTTGCACATCTTACCCCTGGGGTGACTGGAAAACCAAGCCACTCTGTTTAGGGGAAAGAAACCTGATTATTAGGAGAGGTTGATCTATATGGTTCCTTTTATTCCATATGGTTCCATATCCCAACTTAAAAGTGACATTTGCAAAGTTAACTTTCATTAGCTACAAACTCCATCATGACGGAAAGCTGAGGACACTTTATGTTATCAGCAAACTAAAGGCCATACTTTATTATTAATTTTTTAAAATAAAATAGCAGGGCATGGAAAATAGTTGTATATTACAAATATATATAATATTTGTATATACATATTTATATATACACATGCATACTCTCTCTTTTTCACACACACACGTAACTTTGCACCTCTCTTACACAGCAAAGTCTCCCATCAGTGGCAACAAAGTTTCCCTTTGCACAAAAAAAAATTGAGTGCTTTCTTGATCTATTCATCCCCAGAATTTGTTTAACAATGGAAAGAGTCAATAAGCCCCCTTTGGATTCTTTTCAACAGATCCCCTCCCCCCCCACCTTTTCTTTTTCCACAAATCAGTCCAAACGTGTCTGATTTCCATTAAAAAGCCACAAAATGTAACACTAAAGGGTTTCTAAGGACTAGACCCCCTTCCTTCTTTTGTCAAGGGGTCCCTTTTGTTGTCTTTATGTATAACAAACTCCTCGTTTCATGTTGTGGATGGGGGAAAAGAGGGGAAACCGTAGTGCACATTATTTTTATTTTCCAAGTTTGGATCAGCAGATTACTTTCTTTTTCCCCATTAAGAAATGGGATATTGGCGAGCCACGGGGATTGTACCTACATTCAGAGGTTTCCATACCCAGTAGGTAAGATGAGAAGTGTTTCGTAAAGGATTTCTTAACTTAGAACTGAAGTTGTTTTCAAAGATGATGCACTGATGGAACTTAGGCCTCTCTCAAAGGCTAGATTTCCTTAAAAGGACTCAAAATCTCTTTCAAGATCTTAAAAAAAATTGTTCTAGAAATTCTAACTCAACCTAGTTAAAAAGCTAAGGCCAAACCATCTTTAGTGTACATACAAAAATATTACACACCATTTTAACACAAGGGCCTGAAAAAAAAACCATTTAAAACAAATTAGTACCAAAAAGGGGGGGGGGACCTTTTATTGACAGTTTCCCTTGCCCCCGCCAACAGCCTTCCCCTAAGTATAACCTTCTGTTTTGAAGTTCAGAGTCTTAATTTCTCTTCTTTAATTTGCAATCCATTTTCTGGCCCAAAAAGACATTTTAAAACACGCAATTAATTAATATTATTACTTTTAGTTCTGACCGCTATGGTGAGCACTCATGAGTATCTCTACGTGAGTTACGCAATTAAATTATACATTCTGCTCACACGCAGGTGGGGGGTTGTAGAGCGGACTCATATTTTGCATGGTGGACTTTGGGCAGATGTTGGGGCTTTTTATAAAGTCCACTACTCGCAATCACACTGGCGGGCTTTCTCCGCGTCCTCTTCTTTAGCCTCCGACTGCAAACACTCTGCCAGGACTGGAGCGTTTTGGAGGTCCAGATCCACATGCCACTAGTAATGCCCACCACCAGCAACATGAACACTTTGACCATGAAAATCTCTATGGCTGGGATAGAGTCACTCATGGCACAGTCCAGATGTTTCGTCTGGTTGTTCATCTTACACTTCTGTTGAACGGCCAGGACCTTCCAGTACTCCATGTTCAACCTCTCGTAAAAATAGCAAGCTATGACGCAAGTGGCCGGCACCGTGTACAAGACGGAGAAGACCCCAATCCTGACCATGAGCTTCTCCAGCTTGTCAGTGTTTTCCCCACCAGTTTTCATCACCCTCCTGATATGGAAAAGGGCCACAAAACCAGATAGGATGAAAGAGGTCCCTATGATCAGATAGCAAGCCAAGGGGACCAGGACAAACCCGGTCAACGCAATCACATCCATGCTACCCACATAGCATAAGCCCGTCAGCTCATCCCCGGCTACCCTCCGCATCACCAAGATCATGATGGTCTTCACCGCCGGGATGGCCCAGGCAGCCAAGTGGAAGTAGCTACTGTTGGCCTCGATGGCTTCATGGCCCCATTTCTTCCCAGCCGCCAGAAACCAAGTTAAAGTCAAGATCACCCACCACAAGGAGCTGGCCATGCCAAAATAATACAGGACGAGAAAGACCAGAGTGCAACCAGTACTCTCCAGGCCTTCTTGGATGACATAGAGTTGGCCACTGTCTCGGTCGCAGGCGATGCTCTCAGCCCCCGAAAAGAGGCGGATTATGTACCCCACTGAGTAGACGCAATAGCACATGGAGAGGAAGATGATGGGCCTCTCGGGGTACTTGAAGCGCTGGGGGTCTATCAGGAAAGTCAGGACAGTGAAGGTGCTGGAGAAGAAGCAGAGGACGGACCAAACGGCGATCCAGATGACGGCAAACTGCTTGTCCTCCCGGCTCCAGTAGACGTCAACCCCGGGCGCACAAAGCGGGGCACAAGATGCGCTTTTCTCCACGTGGTGGAACTTGCCGGGGTTCTCGCAGGCAGCCCGGCTGAGCCCATCCTTGGGCTGCTGCAGGTCGTGACTCGTGCTTTGGGGTCTCTGGGGCCGGAACATGGGTGGCAACATGCTGGAACCCCGCGGCGGTTCCTCCGACCCATTGTTGGGCGCCTCCATGCACAAGTAGTTGGGGTCGTTCTTGTTGGGCAGCTTGCTGCAGTCCAAGGAGTCGGGCCACTTGAAGGTGAACTGCTCCATGATGGGCGAGCACTTTAGCCGGGCCTGCTCGCACATCACCCGGCAGGCTGGGATGGGGGTAGAGACCTGCTCGGTGCACATGGGGGCGTAGAGGGAGCAGAGGAAGAACTTCAGGTGGCTGTGGCACCCGTACTCCACCAGGGGGGCGAACTCATGCAGCTGGATGGCCGCCTCTCTCTGGTCCTCGTGGCCCATCAGGTTGGGCATCCGGGTCATGTTGTAGCCAATGTCCTTGCACATGGGGATCTCGATGGGCTGGCACCTCCCGTCCCCCGGGCGGTCGATGTCCATGGAGCTGATGCCGAAGCAGGAGCACACCAGTTGCAAGAGGAGCCCCAGGGTCTGCTTGGAGTTGCTGCGGGTGGCACCCATGGTAGCGAACCCCCCCCCCCAAAAAAAAGCCCAAAACACCGGGCCCCCCCCCCCCAGAACCATAGCAACCCCCTCCTGACACCCCCTCCCCTTCTGTTTAGATCCGTCTACGATCTAGGAAAGTCGAGATCTTTCTGCAAAAGTCCATCTCGGTCAGTTGCCACACCCGCTGGAGCCGAGGCAGGGGGGCAGATGGGAAGCGGAACCCCCCTCGCCCCTTCGCGCCCCGTCCATCCTCCAGCAAACTTACTGCACCAGCGCGGAGCTCAACTTTGGTCCTCCTCCGCAAGGGGTTCTCCTAGCGTCGCCTCTTGCCTGTCGCGGCCGCTGCCAAGCAGGATCGCGGCAACCGTCTGCTCTCCTCCCCCTTCCAAAGTTGGGAGATGGCAGATACCCCCCAAGTTCGCCGCCCTTCTAGCACCCGCCGGTCCCAAGTGGAGCGGGGTGTGGGTGTGCGTGTGTCCCGCTCCCCTTTTCGCCGTCGTGGCTTCCAGCTCTGCAATTCGTGCCTCGGAAGGCAGATACCCCCCAAGTTCGCCGCCCTTCCAGCACCCGCTGGTCCCAAGTGGAGCGGGGTGTGGGTGTGTCCCGCTCTCCTTCTCGCCGGCGTGGCTTCCAGCTCTGCAATTCGTGCGTCGGACGACCCCCGAACCGGCCCTGCACTCCAGACTTTCTTCTGTCTCCCCCCCCCCCCCCGCGGG